TGTGTGTGTGTGTGTGTGTCTGTCTGTCTGTCTGTCTGTCTGTCTGTCTGTCTGTCTGTCCATCTGTCTGTCCCAATGACTCTCAGAAAGAGTACTAATGACCAGATGACTTCAAGGAATATAAATCCTTTCATCGTCCACCATTCAGTCAGAACTGAAGAAGCTTCTTGGAGGAGAAGTGAAATGTCTTCAAGGAAAAACAAAGTCCAGTTGCCTTTTGAAAAAAAAAACATATTTGGGATATATCACAGATAAAAACTTAGTAAATCATGACATCATGACTCAATCAACAATGCCATTACAATGTGCTGATGGTGATGATAATGATGATGATGATGATATGTTATTTTTTTTATGACTGGACTTGGTTATGGATCTAACCCTAAGTGGCCTTTACATTAGTCCAATAAACAAGAAGATATGGAACCCAGTGTAATTGAGAAAACTCTAAACAAGATTAGGTATATTATCGTTGGTTATCTTTTTCTTTGGTTTAGTTTTGATTTAGACAATTTAATACAGGAGTCGTTGGAATGGTTAAAGCAAGGGTCTTCAAATTTGGCAAGTTTAAGACTGGTGGACTTCAACTCCCAGAATTCCTGAGCTAACATGACTGGAGGAGGAATTCTGGGAGTTGAAGTCCACCAGTCTTAAAGCTGTCAAGTTTGAAGACCCCTGGGTTAAAGGCTTACAGAATATATAATCTATGTATATGTTATATGCATATAACCAAATGTCTTTGGTTACTTATTAGCTTTTAGAAGTTTGAACATAGTTCTATAAAGTGGTGAATTTTCATTTGGGGATTCTACGTAACCCCCTAATCAATTATCAATATTCCAGTTCCCATCATCCCTTGTGCTTCGACAAAGCACCTACGAGTCGTGAATGGGATCCCAACACAACCCGATAAAGGATGGATGGTCAGCTTGAAAGACAGGTGAGAACTGAGGCATAGCTCTCTTCTCTATGTTGATTCCAGGGGTGGGATTCTAACTGGTTCGGACTGGTTCGGATGAACCCCTTGCTCCGAAGATCAGCTGGCACTGAACCGGTTCGCTGCAATGAGCATGTGGGCCCGCTCGCCCAGCCTTACTCTTTCCGATCATGTTGTTTCTCTAACATCATTCATTTCACCCTTGACCCTGGTTTTCCCCCCACCCTCTGGATGTACATTCTCCAATGAGACACATCCATAGCCAAGAGTCATCAATCATAACCAGTAATAATTTTGCGCACCAACAGCTTCGGCTGCCAAGGCGATTATCTGAGGCATTTAAGGAATGCACTGCTTTCCCCTACTCCCTTTCTGCTGGCAACTAAAAAACCCAAAGGAGTATTTTTTAGTTGACAGTAAGAGCTTTTTAAAATATGGAGCGTGCAGATGGAGCATGCGTTTAGTGTGTTTGGTGCGGGAAGCGTGCGCGCGCTAGAAGCATGCGATCACCGAACCGGTTGTTATACCGGTGGAATCCCACCCCTGGTTGATTCCCTCCATGGTCATCAAAACCAAAATACAAATTATGCATCAGATGATTTTTTTTTTTTTTTTTGAGGTCTAGAAATGCCAGTTTTTGATTGTGTCGCAACTAAAATTCTTTGCATTTTTATTCGAGAAGCCAATTGTTCAGTCTTGAGGAACAACTATTCAAGGATTGTTTCTCAGGTCTGTGTGTGGACCATTGCAATCCTTTCTCAACTTATTGTCTTGGGTATTGCCTAGTTCCTGTCCATGAACCCGAATTAGCAATGCCACCTTAAAATTTTGGACATTACAATTGTCCTCTTGGTTGACTGTCAGATAAGCAATGTATTGTTTACATTCCTCTAGACATGTCCAAGCAAAATCTGCTTCCATCAGTGGCTAAAGTAAAATGTAATCCTCAACTTACATCAGTTCATTTAGTGACCATTTAAAGTTACAACGGCACTGAAAAAGTCACATAATGACCATTTTTTCACACTTATGACCATTGCAGCATCCCCAGGGATCCAAATCCAGATGCTTGGCAACTGACTCATATTGATGGCTGTTGCAATGTGCCGGAGTCATGTGATCTCCTTTTGTGACCTTCTGACAAGCAAAGTCAATGGGGAAGCCAGATTCACTTAACAACCACGTCAGTAACTTAACAACTGCAACTCACTTAACAACTGTAGCAAGAAATGTCATAAAATGGGGGAAAATTCACTCAACCGTCTCGCTTGGCAACAGAAATTTTGGCTTCCATTGTGGTTGTAAATCGAGGACTACTGCATGATATAAATGTGAAGCTTATATAAGCAGATCGGCCCCCAAATAATTGTTCATTCCTTGGTTTCTCCAGCAGGGGCAGACATTTCTGTGGCGGTTCACTGGTGAAAGAAGATTGGGTCCTAACAGCCAAACAGTGCTTCCTCTCTCGGTATCTATTTCACTTTTTATAAGATCTTCTAGCAGGATCCCACCTTTTACAGTTGGCCCCTGGGTAGAAATGTTGGTTTTTCTGACATCGCAAAAAAAAAAAAAAAAAAGGAAGTGGGAAGGGAGGGATAAAGGTTAAATTATTCCCAACTTCTATAACAGGGGTGTTGTGGTTAGCTGGCAGCAGGTGCAGATGGCTGAGGAGAGCGAGGACTCAGATGAGGGACCAGGACCATTAGGGAGTGGACTGCTGCCTTCAGAGATTGTGGGGGCTGGCAGCAGCGATGAAGAGGTTCCTGAGGGGCCTGTGCCAAGTGCATGTGCATGCAGGACTGCTTGTAGGAAAGAGAAGCTGCAGTAGCATGGGTGACTTGGGAGTAAGGCTGCAAGGTAATGCCCCCTCCTTCAAGAAGATAAAAGCCAGCTGTGAATCGGACGTTCTTTGCAGGAAGCAAAGACATTTTGAAACTCAGCCCTGTGGACATTACAGTTGGTATTGGAAGACTCTTGTGTTGTGAAATATTTCTTATCTGTTATTCTTGGCAGCCTCGCACAGTTTTGGTGAGGCTTGTGCTTATCAAAGTTAATTAGTTTGCAGCAGCCTTTTAACCAGGGATTCGTAAGAATCATTAAAAGGTTTCTGTTCCTTTTGGTTCATGTTTGTTTTATTGGAAAAGGGTTTGGGTCAGAGCAAGGGGTGTCAAATTCAAGGCCTGCAAGCCAAGTCTGGCCCGCAAGTTGCTTGGATCTGGCCCATGTGGGCACCCTGGAAACAGCGAAGGACTGGCCCGCGGTGCCTCTGCCAGTGAAAATGGAACTCGGGAAGGCCCCCTGTGATCCCCCACAGTCCTATTTTTGGCCATGTTGGTCTCCTATAGCCCTCTGCCAATGAAAATGGAGCCTGGGGAGGCCATCATAGCTGAAAACAGAGCCCAGGCAGGCAGCATGCTGGCAGAGGGCTGCAGGAGGCCATCATGCTGAAAATGGAACCTCGATAAGTGACGCTGAGTTAACCACGCCCACCTCAGCCATGCCCACCTGGCCCCTCCAAGGTCAAACACAACTCTGGTGCGGCCCTCAATGCAATCGAGTTTGACACCCCTGTTCTAATACAATGCAACTCTGGACTATTCAGAGCATTTGAGTAGAGAACCGTTATTTTAGTTTGTGATGGTGGTGAATATCTGCAGTTGGGTGGAGGACGAAAGTGGAGGTTCATTCTTCAAGCTTGTGGGTTGGTTTTGTGAACATATTTATTCCCTGGCTAGGTAACATCTTCAGGAGAGTTTAGGGGATGCCAGTGTCGGTGTTCTTCTGCTGATAAGGGCTTCATGTGGGCAGGAGGTCTTGTGATGGAAGGATCACATCAAGTGAGAATCTAGTGATGGGTCGTGTGTGTGTGTGTCACATCATATGAGGGTCTTGTGAGGGTCACATTTTTGTGAATTTTCTTGGAAATGTCCTGCTTTTCTAGATGAACCCATATCTAGACAAGTCTCCTTTTTCTTGGTTGAAGCTCGATCTAGGAACTGGACACATTTTTATTCAATAACGGTAGGGTTTAAACTATTCGCACTGGTGTTGTTATAGTTCAAGGTCTGTTCAGAGTGAAAACCCAAGAGGTTAGTCCAGATGGCACCATTTTCACAGCGTGAACTGCTGGAATAGTTCCAGTTTCCACTTCGGGAGACTAAAATATGGCAACAGCCTTATGATTTCAGTGATTTATTTTGTTTGGGGGGGGGGAATGAACTGACCCCTGCTTAAGCTACCTTTGTTTAAATTGAGCAATGGTTATCTAAATAGATCACGACAAAGCAAATAAGCAGAATGAGCAGTCTGTGGCGGGGAGCCTATCTAATCTATCTTCCATCCTGGTTTATTTTTTTATTGACCCCTAATCCAATTATGTTTGCTTTCTTTAGGCATAACCTCAAAGACTATCAGGCTTGGCTTGGTATCCATAATGTGGAAAGAGCTCATGAAGAAAAGCATAAGCAAGTTCTAAATATTTCCCAGTTGGTCTACGGGCCTGAAGGATCGGATATAGTTTTACTGAAGCTTTCCAGGTGGGTTGAAGTTACGCTAATATTTCATAGGCAATTCTCTGTTTGTTGGATTTAATGGAAGGGTGAAACCATGCTACTGAAGGCTGCTGAAGGCTTTAAGTTGCATGCAATCATAAAGAGTGTTGTCCAGGTCTGTCCAAAAAGTCAAATTGT